GAGGCAGGGAGTAGGAAAACGTGATACATCCTTACTAATAAAAGCTCCTGTTTTCCTCACTATGGTAAATAGTTGCGAATGCTATTCTGCAGCCTCAGACTCGATTGCTGACAGCGTGGCAACAGAAATGCTGCGCTTAGCTCTTCCTAACTCTTGAACTTTGATGTTTTTACCAAAAATCCCCAAGTTGGGTGCTCCGCAAGTGAAGGGGAACCCAGCGTCCCGGCCGGGGCACCAACCCCCTCCTGGAGCTTCCCGACGCAGGGCTGCACGCACACACCGAATCATTAAATCTTCAAACAGCTCACCCGTAGCACCAATTAAAGAGACAACCTCATCTTTCAGAGAATTTATTACTTTCAGTGCTGTTGCCACAGGTATCCAAGTTTGAAGGCTGTTTAAAGCGGGCTTTCAAAGGGGATACAGACTCACCTACCTCCAGGGAGAATGCATTTACTTTGTTCACTAGACTATAACTTAAAATTTGTTACATGCACCAGCTTGTAACCCTTTGAAAAGCTCCCCGCTCAGCCAGCTTCAAATGTATTTTATGAACTTGCCCCGATCAAAGCAATTCCCTCGACAATGAGCCTCATCTCACCATCTCGCTCGCAGGAAAAAAAAAAGCGCCGAACAAATTTTGGGGGTGGAAATCACAGCACGGAGCGGGAGGGGACTCTCCCTTCCAAACCCACCTGAGCCAGGGAGCTCCCTCCTTCAGCACAAAGCAAGAAGGAAAAGATATTTAACGGTGAATTCACTTACTCAAAAGAGAAGGGGGGGAAAATAAGCTATTTTTTTTCAGCAGAGCTTTTATTTGTCGCAAGAAGAACCATCTGCCAGCAGGAGACCTCCTGGGCTCCTGTTTCAACAGGACACCAACCTGGCATCCTGGTGGGATGTGCAGGGGAGATGGTGGGACACTCTCTGGATTAACCAGGGATGCAAAGTGCTGCTCAGGACATCCCTGTCCCTCGTTGTCCCCCCCTGCCCCACGGAGCCCCAGCTTGGTTGCCGGAGCAAAGGCACGAAAACCCGGCGGCCACGAGGCCCCAGCGATTGCCACGGCCGGGCTGGGGCCAGACAATGACAACTTCTTCGCCTCCTGCCACACTCCTACTGTCTTCATGTCAATTCAAACTGGTTATTTCCATGTGAAATTTCGCACGCGCCGTTTCCTGCTAGAGGCACAGTTTAATTAAACGCGCTGGGAGGGAGCTCGTTTCTGATCAGATTAGTCATTTATGAACTATGACATGGAGAGGGTGGGGGGGGGCACGGACGGAGGACACGGTTTGAAAAATGTTTTGCTACTGCAAATAATAAACAAACAGTTTGGCGAGGGGAGGAGGATGAAACCACAGCCTTCTAGGAGCGGGACAATAGGCGTCCGCCCAGCGTCCCGGCTCAAATAAAACCCCGGCGGCAAACGACAGGGCTCACGCTGGAAAACACTGGTTACAGCCCAAAGCCCCAGGAAGACCAACTTCCCCGCGGTGACCTATATGTGCTATAAATGCTGCAGACAGGGGCTGCCTGACGTAAGCTCCATCCTAGTGGCAATTGTTGGGTTTCGCCTTGCCAAGAAAACGCAAAGCGGAGGTGCTGAATTGTCCATGCGGCGGGGTAGCTAAACCAGTTCCTCCCCCGGTGCATTTAAGGACAGAAAGGAGGGAAACAGCGGCAGAGCTTAAAATAAAACCGGGAGACAAATATAAAAGCAAAGGGATCACAAAGCTGGAGGGCTCGCATTAACACTTTGAATTTTCCTGGCCTGGGAGAGGGAAACGGGGCCACCCGCACGAGCGCCAGCAGCTTGGCCAGGGCAATTATTAATTGGGATTTGAAAAGGATTTGAATTCGGGGCAATTTTATCACCATGTGATTTTTCTCGGAGCGCTGTTCCAAACGACTGTGCTGCCTTATTTACCAGCTGGATTCTGGAAGTAAGAAACGTCATCTTGGCAAGCGGGGCACTCTGGCTGGGAGTCAGCGGGGTCACGGCTCCCTTGGCTCCCGACCTCCCCCGGGGAGGGAAGAGCCAGGAGCTCCCAGCTCCTCTGGAGGGGAAACAAAAAATAAAGGCTACAAACTGCCCCAGGACTTCCCCGAGGAGGAGAGAGATGAAAAGAGGGAGGCCACAAATTCACTCGTCCAAGGGTGGGCAGAAGCACGCAACACCAATTTTTCTGGCACATCTGGTTATTATCTTGGGATAATACCCCAAATAATGGGATATTGGTGCCACAGTGGTCACTAATGAGCTAAGAATGGGTCTCTGCTTCTCCTTTCCAGGCAGAGGGATGGCAGCGGAGGTGACACGCTGCGCTGCCTTTATCAGGGGTACAGACACCAATCCAACAGGAGGGTTTAGAAAAACACGAGCCCCATTAAAGAGGAAGCCCAGGCATTCCTGCAAGTGAAGGAGATTTAGGGAGCTAATCTCCAGGTCCAGATTATGGCGTGGCTGCAAGACGCCCTGCTCCCTCAGCAAGTCCAGGTCCCCAAATCCAAGGACCATCTGCTCTCCCCCTTCTGACCACACCAGGGTTGGGGACGATTCGACTTCAAATCAAATTTGGAGCCGGATGGCTGGCTGTGCCTTTGGGGATGAACCAGTATCTGATTGTACCTTGCTGTCAATTAGCGAATTAAGCTAAACCAACATCAACAAACTATGAAAACAGCCACTGGCCACTATCTGGGACCTCGCTTAGACACCTTGGATCCTTCTAACATACACAGTGCATCCCTCCCCACGGCACATCTCCCTAGTGTCTTACTGCAGTTATTCATCCCACCAGCAGAAATCAATCCTCAAGCATTCGGGAGCAGAGAGGTGTCACAAAGACAAGACATAAACCAAAAGTGCCCCCTGCTCTCCACCAGTGACACAGAGGACGACTGGCCGAGGGGTAACTGGAGGAAGAGGCTTCCCTGAAACCAAGCCCTGAGCTGCGCTTCCAACCTGCGATGCTGAAAGATGAAGGGAAGAAAGGACAAAAGAGCCACCGTGGAGCCCCGAGCCCGGGACAGCAGCGATTGTGCAACCACCGCCAGAGCCGTTGTATAACATCAGTCCTCTGTTTTCATGAACTGCTCACAGCCAGGCTCAAAAAGCAGCAGCCCAGAGGAAGGGTGGTGTCAACATTACCTTTCACTCACCCGAAAGAAGAGAAAGAAGAGGGGAGGGGGGGAGAGTGTAGAGAATAGAAGGTTTTGGTGTTGTTTTGGCTGTCGCTCAGCCGGGCGGAGGGGGGTCCGGTGGTGGCATGGGCTGAGCCACAGAGCCTGGCTCCAGCCTCTCCTCGCTGGCCAGCCCTGCAAACCCTGCAGCCAAGCCAGCCTCCGAGCAGGAAACGAGTTAATGGGAGCCTGCTCCATGACTCTGCTCTCACCAGCGTGTAGCGCGTCTTCAGCGGATTATTTTAACAGCAGAAGTCGCACACAGGAACACTCACTGGGAGAGATCAGCTTCCATCTGGGTTAACCCCAGAGTCCTCTCCCCTCAAATTTCCTCCAGCGCCCACTCAACAGCTTCCCTCCCTGTAAAAATGTTTGCTAAAAGCCATCTCGATGTGCAGCTCAGCAGCCCCATCTGAAAGCATCAAACTTCCCCGGCCAAAAAGGGCAGGAGCAGGGCAGAGGACAGCCCTCCCGTCCTGCTTCTGCCCCCCAGCACCCACCACCACTGATGGGGACGGCATCGATGGGGACGGCATCCTCACCCCTGGAGGGGTTCAAGGCGAGGTTGGACGGAGCTTTGAGCAACCCGGTCTTGAGGGAGGTGTCCCTGCGCCGGGCAGGGGGTGGCACTGGGTGGGTTTTAAGGTCCCTTCCAACCCAAACCGCTCCATGATTCTCTGATCAAAGCTATGATCCAGAAATCCCACCCCAGTCCCCAGGATGCCAGGGCGCAGACGTTCCACCTGGCCAGGAGTTTCCCTGGACAGCCCGAGTCGGCCCAGGGTAGAGAAGGTCGAGTTTTAACCACCCACAAAGCGCCAGCGTGTTTCAGCAAGAAGGACAAATTAACTGCACTTCCTGCATGCCAGGGGCCGCAGCGAGCCCTGCACAGAGCGGCTTCCCCGGGCATCAAACGCCTGGCACAGCACCGCGCCGTCCGCTCGGCCGGGGAATTCTCAGCTTCAGCCTCAAATGAACCAGCGCTGCGTTTCCCAACCCGACATGAAAAGCTTCACACCCTCCAGGGAGTCTCCTATCGCAGCCGCATCGCCAGCCCTGGCCATCCTCCCCGCTGCTGCCCTGCTCCCAAAGCCCTTTCATCTTGGCACCCTGGCCCCTCCTTGGCGGCCGGGCCGGTGGGGATGGACACGGCCACCCAGCACTTCTGGGGAGCAGGGCTGGCACTGGGGACACCGTGACAAGGTGGGACAGGCGAGGCTCTGCCCAACAGCACCCCAAAACCACAGCGGGGACCAGCTCGGAGGATGGGGAACCAGCTCCAGCCACCCCTCCTGCCACCTCCCTGGAGGCATCTGATCAGGAGGGGTCCCCTCCTGGGTGAGGAACACCCAGATGCCACCCAACAGAGGGGCTGAACTGAGCAGACACCCAAACTGCACCGAAGTCTCCCTGTCCCAGGAATTAACCGCCACCACCGTGTCCTCTCTGTGACACACAGCAGGGCTCCCGGGGCGTACGTCTGCAGGAACCACGCGTTCCTCTAAGCAGCTTAAGAGCAGAGCACTGGCTGTCTGCTCCCAGGCTGCTCCAGCCCGAGCGGCGAGACAACAACAACCTTCAGCTCAGGTGGGGACTTCTTAACTGCAGACAGATCGGCAAGAGCCGCTTTGAGCACCCGGAGACACGTGGAGCAAAAAGAGAATCATCCGGAGAAATAGTAGCAGGCCACCACCAGAAAAACACATCACACAAAACGACAGAAACCCCTCCTTTGGGGTCTCTGGAAGCAAACAAGAATTTATTGCAAGAAACATTAACGGTGTAAAGAAAAAAAAAAATCAAGATGACTGTACCTGATCCTCCAAACTGAGTGCTCGCTAGGGTCGTGGGTCTGTTTTTTCCATTAGCCACTGGCAGGGGAAACATCTAGAAAAACAAGAAGATGAGAGAGAAGGGAAGAGAGAAGAGATTTCAGTATGTTAGTTTTACTGTGCTGCCGCAAAGGGGGTCAGTTGGGCAGGCTGCGGGGGGAGGAAAGGGGGAAGAGAAACACTTTATTGATGCAAAAAACTTTACTCGTGTCCCTGCTCCATAGATCAGCTGCGGGAGGGAGAGGAGCGGCGCAGCTGTGCGCTAATATACACACACATTCCGACGTGCAGAAACTCCTCCTGTGTACACAGCGCGGCTGGCTCCTTACGTGCAACTGAAAACCGTCCAAAAAGCATCTTTGCTGCGGTCAGACCCAGCAGTTTCTCCCCAGACTTACTCACCAAAGCCCAGACTTAGAGGGTGCCCGTGGGGCCACGGAGAAAGGCCGGCTCCATTCATAAAAAGCCATTGGGGCAACCACAGTGTCCAGCAAAGCTGGTTTCACCCCTCAGCACAGAATCACAGAATCTTCTAGGTTGGAAGGGACCTTCAAGATCATCTTGTCCAACCGTCAACCTCACTGACAAAAATAGACACCCGCACAACAAACAAGGAGCATCATCACTAAACCAGACCTCCCAGCACTACATCAACCCGTCTTTTGAACACCTCCAGGGATGGGGCCTCAACCACCTCCCTGGGCAGCCCATTCCAAGGGCTGAGAACCCTTTCAGGGAAAAATTTTTTCCTAATATCCAGCCTGAACCTCCCCTGGCGCAACTTGAGGCCATTTCCTCTGGTCCTGTCGCCTGTGACTTGAGAAAAGAGACCGACCCCCACCTCTCTACACCCTCCTTTCAGGGAGTTGTAGAGAGCAAT